TTTAAGACAGCAACCAGTTTGTGGAAGCTGATGGATCCAAATACAAAAAAAGTGTCCAGATTGTTTAATTTCCACATATGGAAATGTTCACAATATGTTAAATATATGTTTAAATGATCAACACAATATTTGAACCAATTATCTATTGGAAAACTATTAGTTGCCTTTATAGAGTGCCCTTACAATTGTAATGGTTTATACAACATATAACCTGTAGTTAACACTGTCTCCTGTAATAGTTCTTTAAGGTTGTTATACAATAGTAGAGATTCCTCTGTAGGAAGCAAGAAATGTATTATACATGTTAAAGTCACTTATTTGGAGACCTCACAGAAGCCAACTGAATAAGGAACAGACACTTTGTTAGAGTTTGTGTGGAGACCTGACCTTGCTCTTCCCTCCTAAATTAGCTGCTACTCAGTGCATTTGCGTTGTCTTTTGTTGGATTGACTGGCCTTTATTGCAACAAATAAAACGACATAAAGACATATTGGGTTTGATGTTTTTATTTAAGAAAGCTCCACCAGTTTGAACAAGAACATTTCCATAACAAGATGATTCAGTCTGTAACAGTGTTTTCATTCAGTTTCCAATCCAGTTGAATTCTGCTGTTAGTCATTTCAGTCAGAGAAGTCTTCTATTTAACGTCACCATGTTTAAGGTGGAATGTCTCAGTTTGGGTTCAGACTGTATGTAATGTTTGCCTCTGTTTCAGAACATTAATTAACAATAATGCTGAATGTACAATTACTCCTGTTTTTCATCAGTATAATAAAATATTGTCTTTACTTTGGTGTCATTAATCTCTGATAATAGCAGTAACAGTGGATAGTAAAAATGTGTCTTAAAACTGGATAAAACAGCTTCTGGCAGACAACTACAACAAAGCACAAAGGGGATATGACGCTATTGACAGGCGAGTGGTGAAACGCAGCGTTACCTGAATAAAATTGTAAATTCAGCACGCTGTTTGACAAACACTGCAGAGACACTCATCTGAGGTTGTTATAATTCATGTTTTCCAGGATAAAACTTGAAGGAAGTGTGGAGAGAGGAGCGACGAGGAAGCAGATGAACGTGTTGGTGAGCGGCAGTGAAAATGTGCCACAGCCAAAAGGTGAGCAGCACAGCGTTTGATTAGGACATGAATCTAAAATGTAATTAAAGAGTGAGCGGTTTTGTCTGTGACCTGACGACAACACTAACTAACAGCACAATCAGTATTCCTACGCCTTCCCGCTGCACGTGGGAGACAACGGTCCTCTAAAATGTCAAATAAACCCGCCCCAAAATTCCCAGTTATCACACTCCCAGTTCATCAGGTTGTAATGGAATATATTCATTTTAAAGAGGCTTCAGGTGGTTTTACATTTCTTTTTCTTGTATATTTAGTTCACAGTCCCAACTCTCACTGTCACACCCCTCATTCATTATTCCCTCGCCCTGCAGCCAGCAGCTCTGCAGTCTGTTTAATCAGTGATCCAATGTCATTCGGGGCTAATTGCAGCTGTAATGAGTATGAATAGTTTCGTGAAACAACGGCCAACGTACCATTACTCCTACAGTTGAGACTCTGCCTGCATTATTCAGACCGGACACAGTGAACCAACCTGAATAAGAACAAACCTCCTTCGATGTACCTCAGCACATCTACTATCTCCAGGTCTTATTTACTCATTTTATCACTGTAATCCTTTATCAGACTCATAATGAACAGTTTTAAGTCCACATGAAACAGATATTTACGTGCTTCCTGTAAGAATCAAACCTCTAGAAGCAGTAAACTACTAGTGATTGGACAAATTTGCAGTAAATTTGCTCCAGCTATATCAGCTGATTCTCTTCAAGCATCCAATTGGTCATTCAGGGCGCCTTCGCAACCCATCTACACCCCAGCTCTTCTGTATCTGTGTCTGATTGAATCAATTTCATTTCTGTTGCCATTGAAGCCTGCTCTGTTTTGGACCCTGTGCATGAATGGACGAAGTTTTCCATGCATGCACAGGGAAGGGCAGGGAGGTCCCAGAATAGACCCATACAGCCAAATATAACATTCTGCATTTGAAAATAAAGTTTTCTTTTTACAACAAGGGTCCTGTCTGAACTGCAAGGCTGCACAGAAAGAAGTGCGTTAATTGCTGTGATCACAACATTGCAGCTTCCTGGAGGAACTAAAGGTTAGAGATGCGAGCTTGTCCCCGGACTGACAGGATAAATCTGGGTGGGGGAAAGTGAAGAAGCAGCGCTTGCCCCTCCCTCATTACCACCACTGACCC